TCAGGGATCATCTGTAAGAGGTTATTCTAGTTCTCAAGCTTCACCTCAGAATTCGCCACCATTTTTCGAGAGGGATTGCTATAAGTGTGGAGAGCTGGGTCATGTGAGGAAAAACTTTTTCCCCGCCTTACGCGAGGTCCAGTTCAGCAGAGGAGTCAGGCTACTACTCCTGCACCAGTTGCTTCACCACCCGCCCAGCCAGCTCGGGGAGGGGCTCAATTAGCTAGGGGTCTCCTAAGAGGGGGAGGCCGATCAGGTGGCAGTCAGACTCGATTCTATGCTTTTCCTGCTAAGCCAGATATCGTTGCTTCAGATGAGTGATCACAGGAATTGTCTCAGTGTTCCACAAGGAAGCTTCTATATTATTTGACCCTGGTTCCACATATTCTTATGTTTCATCATATTTTACTCATTATCTGGATATTCCTTGAAAGTCTTTAGTTTCACCTGTTAGTGTATCTAGGTCGGTGGGCGATACTATTATTATGGACCGTGTGTATTGGTCGTGTGTGGTAACTATTGGGGGACTGGAGACTTAGAGTTGATCTCTTACTGGTTAGTATGGTTGATTTTTATGTAATTTTGGGTATAAACTGGTTGTCTCCATGTCATGCTATTCTGGATTGTCACGCAAAAATGGTGACGTTGGCGATACCGCGATTTCCGAAGGTCGAGTGGAGAGGTTCTCCAGATTATGTTCCCAACAGGGTAATTTCTTACTTAAAGGCTCAATGTATGGTTGAGAAGGGGTGTTTGTCATATTTGGCCTTTGTGAGAGATACTAAGGCAGATACTCTTACTATTAATTCAATACCGGTAGTGCGATATTTTTCGGATGTATTTCCTGTAGACCTGCCGGGTATGCCACCCGACAGAGATATTAATTTCGGTATTGACTTGGTGCCGGGCACTCAGCCCATTTCTATTCATCTGTATTGTATATTATCAGCTGAGTTGAAAGAATTAAAGAGCAACATCAGGAACTCCTAGATAAGGGGTTTATCAGGCCTAGTGTGTTACCTTGGGGTGCACCGGTTCTGTTTGTGAAAAAGTAAGATGGTGCTATGTGGATGTACATCGACAACATGCAGTTGAACAAAGTTACAATCAAGAATAAGTATCCTTTGTCGTGTATTGACGATTTATGCTTAAAAGCTATTTTTTCATATATACTAGGCAACAACCCGATCGGTCATTTCGATTGACTTAAAAAAGTGGATTTTAAGCATAAGTTGTAACGATCCGGTCGGTCGTTTTGAGTATTACAACCTCGTTTTCCCATTTACTACTCAATTTTTGCTTTACAATTGTTATATGACTTGTGCGTAAAATTTGTGGTAATCAGACTTGATTTGATAGGTTTCAGCATCGAATGTAGAAGTTGAAATTTCTTAGTTTCAAAAATCTTGTCATCTCACCCTTCTACACTATTATTCACACACTCATGTAAACAAGGAGGGGTCACGAAATAGGAGGGGATTTTCTACAACAAAAAAATAAAAATAAAAAGAGAGAGGGAGTGGGGGCAACACTTTGAGGGGAAAGGAGGATTTTCGGGAGAGAGAATTTGAGTGGGGGTAACACTTCTAGTGGAAGAGAGGATCTTAAGGAGAGAGAGATAGAGAGAGAAGAAACAGGACAGAGAAATAGACTGGTAAAGGGGAGAAAACAAAAACAGAGGGAAAATCAAGAGAAAAGAGCATCCAAAAAAAATCGGTCCCTTTTTCCTCCTCATGAGCAAACCACGTCAATTGCCTTCTCCATCCTTCCTCTAGAGTTTAATTGCAGAAAAACATATATAGCTACAAAAACGCATCATCTACACCTCTAAAAACCCACCACTAAATTAAAACTGCATTTCTAACAATGGGAATAGCTTGAAAACTCCATGAAGTAAGCTGAAACTCCAGCTCAAATCCAACCTCAAAAACAGCTTAAAATACCCCCAAAGCAGTCTAAAAAATGCAGCCATGGAGTAGCCATTGTTCCGCCATCAACAAACTAGTAAACAAAATGCAACCACAAAGATAGCACAAAAGTAGTTTCAAATTTCTCCATTAATCACGTTGAAGCTTTGTCACTCGAGGTCGCCGCGAGTTCTTCGTCCCCGGTCCAATTTGCTCAAGATTTCTTGCCGACTTTCCATCTTTGTACTCTCATATATAAAAAGTTTATCGAGTAAAACTAGGCTCGGGTGAGTGGCCGTGTCAAAAGGCGAGGTCGTCATCGGGATTTTCGGTTTGAGATTTCTGGTCAAAAGTTCCCTGATGTTATTTCTCCGATTGGATTTCAATTGTCGGATTTCTATTTTTGCCGTCAACATCTCTTGCGTGTACTGCTCGAAGGATATTTTTACTGAAAAAGCTAATTAAAGATTCGAGACGTTTGGAGGCCGAATCGCGAGGGAAAGGCACTACAGAATAAAGAATTACACGGTTTGAGGTAAGTAATACTTCTATACTTGGTTCTGAGGGTATGAATACTTGAATCTGGTGTTATATAAATTGTTTGGAGATGACGCACACGTTAGGTTACGAGCGTGTGGACTTGCACCAAAGAAATTATGCCTTGAATAAATCCCGTAAAGTTGTAAAATTAAAGAATCATGTTATTATTCGCATATCCTTCACGTGTTAGGAAATTAAGTTGAGACTCGTATTAAAGATCGTGATTTGGCTACGTGCCGATATTTGGGACCCATAGGGTCGTGTTGCTGTTGAATTAATTATTTTAAAATGTACATTTCATACTCACTCATGCTCACCCATTATGAGGATATTTATGGGATCGGGACTGCCCGCCTATAGCAAGCCATATCGGCTTTATATATATTATTATTGTTAAGGGATCGGGTTGCACGCCGCAACATACCTTATAGATTTTATTGTTCTGGATCGGGTCTACACGCTGCAGCAGGCCTTAGTGGCTTTTTTATTATATAGATCGGGGTTGCCCGCCTGCAGCAGGCCATATCGGCTTTATATCACGCTTGGGTTGAAGGAGCCTCTCCGGAGTCTGTACATACCCTCAGTGAGCGTAGATCATTATATATTCGAGATGGACTTCCCAGATCATGGACATACCTTACTTATTTATATTGTGATGAATTTCCCTGGATATGGATCATGTACGTATCATTTACATTTGGGATAAATTAACCGGGGCTGGATTGGCCTTATACGGTACTGAGTGACTAACTGACAGTCGATGTGTGTGTATATACGGGATGGAATATCCCTGGGCCGTATTGGCCATAAACAGTACCGAGTGACCGAATGAATTGTGACCAGTAGTACATGAGGTCTTTCCGCTAAGATGTCATATTCCTCGTATCATGCAGTATTGATCTATTTTTGCTTGTACTGAGTTTAACTATTGAACTTGAGAGCATGCCTACATTTCTGTACCATTATTTATGTACTGGATTGTACCTGCAGAGCTCATCACTACTTTCAGCCCAGCGGTTAGTCTTCTTACTTATTTAGTTAATTGTACTCATACTACACATTGCACCTCGTGTGCAGATCTAGGTGATTTCGGACACGGCGGTCGTTAGATTTCAGAGTACTATCAGTTGGAGACTATCAAGGTAGCTGCCTGAAGTGTGCTGACCTTGGCTCTCTTTCTTTTATTTATTGTACAGTTCTATACTTTTAGACAGTGTTTTTATGATTTTGACTTTGTATTCATATTAGATGCTCATGCACTCAGTGACACCGGATTTGGGGAGTATTTATATCTGTATTTGTGAGATTTCTTCTCCTAAATTTAAATATTATGTTTCAAATTTAAAAGATATGGTGATTTATTGAGATTGTCCGCTTGCCTAGTATTGAGATAGACGTCATCACGACATATGAGATTTTGGTCGTGACGTAAGTGCTAGAACTTGTTTTATAAATAAGCAGTTACGTGTTTGGATAAAAATGTTGAAACTGAAAAAAAAGTTGTTGAAGTGTTTGGCAAACAAGTGATGGTAATCACTTTTTCTGTTAAAATGACTGAAATATCGTTAAAGTTATTAACATTATAACGAAGACAATTACTATAATATTTTTATTCTAAGTTGACACATATACAAATAATTTTTAAATTTTAATTAATTCACTTTCAATTTAAACTGATTGCCTAAACATAAATTATTCATTTAAATAACATGCAACAATTAATTATTTGTCAAAAAAATAGTTTTTTCGTTCATAGCTTCAAATTACGTGGTAACATATAAACTCATCGAATGATTTGATTTAAAATATAATTACACCAATTAAAAAAAGGAAGAATTCAATGGGAAAAAAAATTAAATGTCATGGAACCAAAAAAGAAGCCAAAAGAATAATATTTATAAAATATTGGAATGTATCAAACATTGATTTAAAAAGTATTGTTTGCTTCATGTTAAGAACTTCACGAAATTAAAAATTTTGAGAATGACAGCAGCAACGGCAAGATTAAAAATGGTGATTAGAACTGACACGGAGATTTAATTTGTATGGGAAGGGTAGTTTTGGGGTTTAGAAAAAGTGAAAGGTATAGTAGGGTAAATTACTTGGTCAAACATAAGAAGCTTTTAAGTCAAAAAGTAATAAGCTGACCAACCCCAACTTATTATTTTTTTGCTTGTTTTGAGTATTTCAGCTTAAAAGCATTTGGTTTAAAAGCAATTTTATGGTCTATCCAAACACTCAAATAAACCCCAAAAGTGCTTTTAAGCTGGTTTGACTAACTTTTAAACCAATCCAAACACCCTCAAAATCTATACTCTAAGAATGTGAGTATTTTTCTAATATATTTTTTAAATCAAATAAAATCTATTAAGAGTAAGATAAAAGTTTAAAACATCAAGATTAGATCTAAAAAAATATTTACACTAAAACAGTATAGAATTTGGGTGTGATAAAAAATTAGTTATTCACGTACCCACGTCTCTTTCTGATTAGCAAATTTTATTAAAAAGAAACACAACTCTTTCTTGAGCTATATATAAATCTTCCCCTCCACACAAAAGTAAGTTTTTTCTCAATTCCTCTCGTAGATCGTCATAACCATCACAGATGGTGCTGGAACTGTACAATGCATTTGACTATAACAAAAACGTCTGCAGAATTTTGTGTTGATATATTAACTAAATATATATACTAGATCAAAGAACATTATATTCTTCGATGCTCGTTTTCCTTGCCAATCACCAACTGCTTCTTTACATTGTCAATGACTACTCTGATGCTTGACATCCTTCCCAGATATTTACCTGCAAAATGTTATAACAACCCAAGGCATTCTCTGCTGTGAATTTAAATCTTGCAGACTCAGATTGTTGTACAAAACCACTATAGGATCATTGAAATCTAAAGCAGATTTTCTTTTACATTAAGTAAGTAACACATCCCGACAATTAGAAATATTCGAGAATCTCAATAGCACTTACAATATGTAGCACGCAATAGTATGATACCATCACTATTATAGATACAAAAATTGTGTATGGTTCCAAACATCTATCATTAACTAAAAGCCTAAGTGGCAAAGAAGGAAAACAAAAACATGTATAAGTTAGAGGGTAATGAAAAGAAAGTTAGTAAAACATATACTCACAGTGGAAATGCGCCACAGGTATTGTGCCATTATCGATGAGTTCAAATTTATAAGTATCTCCTACTTGGACATTATTTGCTTCTCTGAACTGTCGCCATCCCCTGGTAATTGAAAACTGATGTCCCACTGGTCCTACCTGCACTGGCCATAATCTCTGTTTCTCATCTCTGAGAATCATCTGACGACATTTATTCGCCAAGCCATTTGATTTTGCAAAAGCCGCTGGAAGATACTGCTCACATTTATCCCAGTATGTTGATCAATGCCGCGTTATCACAAAAAAGAGAGGAGAAACTACAGCCGAAGATCTTTGTAATATGGCAATTATTTTGGATAATGGAGTCCATATCACATAAGCATAAGCATCTTTGCAAAGTGTAGACTTTGTTGGCAATATTCTTTGGGACCCAAATATATTGCATTGTGTGTTGGACATCATTTGCACAAGTTGTATCTCTTCTTTTACACCTAAGATGCCAAGACTTTTTTGCCTATAAAAGGGAAGGTCATTAGTTCATTTTAGACACACCAACAAGACTTGAGTTTTTTATTTCTTGTTTCTTCCTTTCTTTAAGAGTGTTTTGTATGAGAGTTAAGTGTTGGGAAGCACTTGTGT